TCTCTCTCTCTCTCTCTCTCTCTCTCTCTCTCTCTCTCTCTCTCTCTCTCTCTCTCTCTCTCTCTCTCTCTCTCTCTCTCTCTTTCTCTCTCTCGCTCGCTCGCCCGATCGTGCTCCAACGATATTTAGTGCTCCAACGATATTTAGAATGACCGGTGAGCGGGCCCCGACTAACTGTGTGGTTACCTGACTGAGCGGATACTCGCACTAGCTCTATCTCAAATGTATCTGACCGCATTTACGGCAGGTGCTGGATGCATCTGGCCCAAATTACGTCCAAAGAAAAGAAAAAACGTCTAGCGTGAGTATGCACTGAGGGCATTTTCCAACCCCTTTTTTCCTTTGTTTTTTTCTCGGTTATCTGACTGCATTTTTTGACCTTTCCATTGAACTGGGGGAGATCGACCAGAGCTGACCAAATGGCATTTTGTGGATGGATGCGGCTACCTTCTTCCCCCGAATACAACTTACGGTAATTACAGCTGTATTTGGGGTATCTTTCAGTATAAATACAGTTATAATGACCGTACGTTGTATTCGGTGGAAGAAGGTAGTTTGAGCTTTTCTTCATCTTCACTCGTAGGTGCTGCTGTATAATACCCAATAGCCACACCTGGCGGCAGGTGGCTCTTGTTCATGCGCGCGCCTGGGCCATCACGATAAACGCCGGGTTCGCGTTGTTTTCTTGCGGCTCTCTGTGGTGGGGGCGGTACTGTCTGGAACGCCGTGTTTTTTTTTTTTTGGGTTACTGTCTGGAAGGCTAGATACACTTGGCAATTCGATTTAGCAAACGCGCCCCCACCCCCATCCCCAACCCGAAGCACCCAAAAGAAAAGAAAAAAAAAATGGAAAAAGGGGGAAAAAAAGGGAAAAGAAAAGAAAAGATGACACAGAAAGCGAGTAAATAAAAACGAATCGGTCCGGGGCGCTGCTTGTCAGTGATAAGCAACAACCGGAGGCTAGGTCGCACTTGCACGGATTAAGAGATTCCGGCCGTTGATCTTTGCTATCTACGGTCAATATCGCTTCATTCGTGTAAGTGGGACCTAGCCCCGGACTAGTGCCTCCCAAAATCGAAGGGGCAGTGTGTGTGTGTGTTCACAAAAAAAAAAAAAAAAACGAAGAAATTAGGAAGCGAGTAACGAAACTAGAAGATGAACAGATCTGACCAACTGCTGAACGTGCGCGGCAAGTTCAGTATGTTGTGGCTTTTATCTAATTCGACGGCTGTCTTCCTCTGGGGGATCTGAGTGGGAGCTGATTAGAAGCGCTCTCTGAGGGAGCGCTAGGTGCGCAACCTGGCGGAAACGCGTCGGGGAAGGGGGAGCGCTAGCAGCGCAACCTGGCGGAAATGCGTCGGGGGAGGGGGAGCGATAGGTTCGCAACCTGTCGGAAACGCGTCGGGAAAGGGGGGTTTGCGCGTTTGGTCTTAGATTAGTAGATGCCTAGCTGCAATGACTGTCGTAATTCTTGCCGGGCGAGCTTGGGAGCTGAGTTCAGCTAACTTTGCTTTTTTTTTTTTTTTTTTTAATTTTATGGAGGAGCATTCTGCAGTTATTACTAAGGGGAACATACTGCCTGCCACAACCAACCAACACACTGACCGGGGGAGGGGAAAACTGGATGAGCGAACAGGGAAAACATGATTAGCATGACCTCTGCTGCAGGAATTTGAAAAAAAAAACAAAAAAAAAACACGGGGTTCTATTGTTCTATTGGGCCTCGCTCCACTACGCTCGAGATGTTCGAAATGAGAAACGAATCTTTCGTTAGAACTTGGAAAGATACACCGCTATATTTTTTGTCTTTTGTGCATGTCAAGTGTAGTGGAGCGAGGCCCATTATCATGTTTTTTTTTTTTTTTTTTGTATGTATTATTCACATTCGGGCAGAACTGAGGACTGAGGGCATACTCACACGAGGACTTTTTCTACCGAGGTCTGGACTTTATTGCACAGAGATTCATCCCGCTTTGGCTGTAATTGTGGTCAGATACATTTGGGGCAAAGTGCCAGTGAGAAAACGATTTCTCGGTTTGCCCGAAACTACTCGGAAGTATCCGGTTGAATATGTTTCTTTTTTTAACATGAGTCTTTTACAGTAGACTCAGCCGCTAAGCTACCGGAGTGGCCCGGGCCCCCTTGCCCGGCCGTGCCGCAAAAAAAAGATTTCTAATTTTAATTTGGTAAGGAGTTTTGATTTGGCCCTGTTACAAGTAAGTATATATCGTCACAAACAGAACTGCCCGGTAAAACCGTAGGCAGAGAGAGAGAAGAGGACAACAAACGAGGGGCTGTGACAAACTGTTTCGTCGGAGTTTCACCGACTCATCAGGAGGCTGAACCCTCAACAGTCTGCAGAATCCCCTCACTGATTACACTGTAAATGATAATCTACCTTAACCAAAATCAAACACAAGCCAGCAAAACAAAGAAAGGTCTGTCATATATATATATATATATATATATATATATATATATATATATATATACATGCAGCCTCCTGATGAGTCGGTGAAACTCCGACGAAACAGTTTGTCACAGCCCCTCGTTTGTTGTCCTCTTCTCCATCTCCCTATCTGCCTACGGTTTACCGGGCAGTTCTATTTTACGATATATATATTTAATTAAGTAGATATTGGATTGGCTCCATTGAAGTCTTTCTGCAGACGTCTGGTCCATATTGGTAAGGCTCCTAGAAGGTTTGGCTACCCGGGGGCAAGGTCCCACTTGTGCAAATTAGGAGATTTGGGCCGTTGATCTTTGCTATCTACGGTCAGTATCTCTTAATTCGTGCAAGTGGGACCTAGCCCCGGGTTGACTGTGAGGACCCCGGCCTCAACAAAGCTCATCGAAACATCAGCCTTGAGCACTGGGCCCTCTTCAGGAAAAAAAAAAAAAAAAAAAAAGTCGTTCACATCCAGCGGCCCAGCTCAATTGGTTAGGCATGCAAGTGGCATTCAGGAGGTCGTGGGTTCAATCCCCATGGTCGCGGGTGGCGCTCTTGGTGCCAACCAACTGAGATAGTCAGCTGGATCCGCCTCCCAGTCGGTCGGTACCGTAAGGTCTTCAGCCACTCAAAGGTCTTCAGCCACTCAAAGGTCTTCAGCCAACACGGGTGTGAGTGCGCGTGCAAGTGGGTTGGTCTGAGGGAGAGTGTTGGCTTTAGACACCGCTGTTACTCGATGGGGGTGGGGGAAGATAGATGAAAAAGGGGCCACAGTTACTTAGTGGCAAATGTTCGGTCCTTGTGTTAGCCGGGCCCCCACCGAAGGCCCGAACACTGCATGCACCCTAAACCGTAGGGCAAAGGGGCAAACATGCCATTACCTCTCTCACATACCGTCACCTCTCTCCACCGAGAGGTGTCACCTCCCTTCACCGAAGAGAGGTAGAAAGCTATGCTTGCAGGCCCCCCTGTATAGCCTTAGGAGTAGTGGTAGGTAGGTAGGTAGGTAGTGAAAGATGAAAGATAGGTTCTATGATCAAATGGCAGAACGCCAGTTAAAGAAAAAGTAAGGTGAGGTGAGAGAGAAAAATATATGGCTGTACCCCGTTGTTCAGTTTATTTTTCTGCATAACATGGTTTTTTTAATTTTGTTTTTTGGTTTTTTTTCTTTCTTTCAGGGAACTAGAGGTTACTGCTATAGGGGTTACTGCTAGTATCAGCACTCCTAGCACCCAGACGGGTGTATATGCTATAGAAAAAAAAAAGAAAAAAAAAAAGAAAAGGGAAACCTTTGGCCCTTGCCTGCCCGGGGCCGCCCGGGCAACCAAGGTGGCCCGGGCGGCCCAGTTCGTAGCCCATGTAGACTTTTTTTTTCCCCCTTTTTCCCTTTTTTTTTTTTTTTTTTCTCTTTTTTTCTTTTTTCTTTCGTTCGCACTAAGTCTTGTCTCTAGGTTCGCGATCAGATAGAAGGCCTCGCTCCACTACTCTCCAAATGTGAAAAATGAGACTGAATCGTCCTCTAGAACATGGAAACATACATTGCCATACTTTTTGTATTTTCTGCATGTGGAGAGTAGTGGAGCGAGGCCCTATGTCGTCGTCTAACAGGAGCGAGTGAAACGGGATTTCATTGAGTGAAACTCAAAAAACGAAGATGGGGATTTCATTGAGTGAAACTGAAAAAACGAAGATGAATCAACTAAGACGTAGTTTAATGAATGAGAGAATGAACGAACGATTGAATGATATTGAGAATGGAGTTCCGAATGAATGGATGGAATTGGAATTGGAATTGGAATCGCTGCCGTTCAATGACGCGGCGGAAGAAAAGTGAGTGACACGAATGAATGAAGGAGCGAATAAAACAAATGTCGCTGCATGGATACGAAAATTCGACCGTCGTTATTCCGAAAGGAGGAGATCACTGGACAGGAAACAGCGAAACGTGAAAAAAAAAAAAGATATCTGAGAGCACTGCGAATAAGACGAAGAGCATCAGGGTGGCTTCATTCCATCGTCTCCTCTTATTTTGCCTTCTCCTCATGGTCATCCTCTTCCTCCTCCTCCTCGTGGTAGTCGTCGTCGTCCTCATCCTCATCCTCCTCCTCCTCCTCCTCCTCCTCCTCCTCCTGCTCTTTCTCCGCCTCATTCTCTTCCTCTTCCACTTCCACTTCTTCCTCCTCGTCCTCTTCCTCTTCCTCTTCCTCTTCCTCTTCCACTTCCTCCTCCTCCTCTTCCTCTTCCTCTTCCTCTTCCACTTTCTCCTCCTCCTCCCCCTTCTCCTCCTCATTCTCCTCCTGGATCCGGCTGAAGAAGAACTCTTTCAGGAGTGAGAGAGGATGGGGAAAAGTGGTTGTTGGGCTGCGCACAGGTAGAGGGATGGAGCCGGTGTGCCTGACATTACACGCTTTTATTCAGGGTTTTGTGGGTGATTCAATGCTTGCGGGAGTTTTCCTTTGTTAATTTTATGGTGCTATTGGCTGTGGGTCAAATGCTTGTGGGCGGCTGGCACGTGAACAGGGTTTAGAAACTGTCGGATGTCCCATTGGCGCGATGTATGTCCCGAGAAAAAGGCGGTCGTCCGCCAGCCCGCGGAGTAGCGGAGCTGGGCCGTCGATGTTATACGGGAGCAGCGATGGGGGGGGCAGTGTGAGTGGGATGGAGGACGAGGAAGGGAGGGGGGTGAAGGAGGTGGAATCGAAGGGTAGGTTTGCTTTCTTGCTCGATGCAGCAGCTGAGCAAGCAGAGAAGTGTGGTCTTGATCTGCAGAGGGATCTGGAGAGGAGGAGGAGGAAGCCGTCCTCTTCGTCGCAGCTACGACGGAAGTCGGATGAGGGTAGGAGCCCGAGCATGGGGCACCTCACAGTCCCGGGTTGTGATGGCTGCGGCAGCGGCGGGAGCGGGGGGAGCGGGGGGAGCGGGGGGAGCTGGGGAGAGGTGGGTGTCGGGGTCCGGCGGACGACAACGCGAGACAGGGAGTTGGTCTCCACCGGCGGCGCCGGTGTACCTGGCTCGCGCCTTGGTCCAGGACCAGACGAACCGGTCGTAAGTCAGACCAGGAACAACATGATGATCATTCCCCTCGAAGAGAGGAACAACATGATGCTGACTCCCTTGGAAGACAGGAATGACGCTGGCCCTTGCCTTACGCTGGGGTTGGGCAAGATGGGTGACGACGTGTGTGACCTGAACAGCAGCAGGCCAACGGTGCAAGACGATGAAGGGGGGAGCCGCGTCGCCGGGCCAACAGGGGTCGGTTATACACATCTAGATGTGTATAAGAGACAGACACGCCCTCTCTCTCTCTCTCTCTCTCTCTCTCTCTCTCTCTCTCTCTCTCTCTCTCTCTCTC